GAACACAATGCTAAACCACTTTCTCGGGTGGAAAAAGTAAAGAGCTGAATCCGGTTCGCAGGCCCCCATGACATTGTGCGAGAATGTTATTCATGTGGCGTACTACCGGTACTCGTACAGTACTTGTATCATACTCTTACGGATAGCCTGCAGCCTTGTTTACTGTGATAACAGGAGGATTCTAAAAGATGGGATTTCGATCCACCAACCGGTTGAGCCCGTCAATACTCCATCATGCCCGGTTCAGTGCTCAATCTAGATTCATGATATCATACAACCCAAGAGTTTATGTAGCATATGAGTTTGAGGACAGGGTTATATTTTAGGAGTTCGGGCTCACTGTAAATTAGGTCTGGCACTGATCCTGCTATGATATGATACGAGGTGAACTTTGGGTGGCTCAGCCAGCCTCGTCTTGCGGTTTTCCGTTCGCCGTGTGCGAGCCGCGAAATTTAATTATTCTCGCCGCCATCCCGGTTATTTTCCATTATGAAGCACGTTGCGTGCGTGAGAGTTCGCACAAATGAAGAGAGGATCCGGAGGTGAAGTGCGGGAAACAGCATATGAAGATATGGGGAACAGATCCCCTAGCAAAGTAAAGGACCAGGAACTTTGTATTTCTCATACTCGGCTCTATGGCCCAAGATGATAGATTTAGATATCCGGCGAGTACGGCGTTTGCCAGCAAGTCAAAGTGTGGGATAATATAGAATGTTTCTGGGTGACTGCAATCGATATTCAGATGCGTATCATGATTACAAGTGCAGGTACAGTGCCGAGAGCGCCCCCGGGTGAGTGTTTGCGGACACTGAGGCCATTTGCAAGACGGGCCGGGCAGAGCCCATGGAGTTGTGCTATCATACGGACGCCATCGTCACGGACATTTGTATGCAATTCTGGATTCCCGCCGAGCCTTATCGGTCAAGGGAAGCAGGAAGGGGTCGGGAGGGGGTTTCAGAAATTTTACAGCTCGGGAAGGTGTGTGGGAGCAGCAAGTACGAGCACGGTGCCAGTATGTCTATTACTACGGCGGTAAGAATACCATTATAGAAAGCCAGTACTGTACTGTACTTGTGTCCTACGACATGTGCGACTTTGCATCTCACGGGCGCTGAAGGGCTCGGTAATTGGTTGGGGGGTAGGGTGCGAGCAGAGTACCCCATGGTGCCAGGGTTCAATCTGGTACTCGAGTGCTGTAACGGGGAAACTCCTTCCCATCCGCCATGGTTACCCAACCAGGCCACCTTTGGGTCCCCCTCATTCTTCCACCGGGGCTGCTTGGGATATTGTGCACAGTACGATGGTATTACTTGTATTGTCTTGGGGTGACCGGTTACTGACTGCTGTACCGTCCGGGGTGTATGATGTGGTACCGTATTGTATAGTTGTGCACTAATCTTGGCTGCTCCCTTTTCCTTTCCTCTCGAGCTCCTTCTTCCAAGCTTCGCACTCACACTCGACAATTCGAAGAATTATGGATGGGTGGATGGGCGGGTGGATGGAAGTGAAGGGGAAAAATGTCGACGTTTGGATGCGAGATGGAAGACGAAGGGTCCAATTCTCTATTATATTCTATTCTACGAGTATTTTATTTTGGGGGAGGGGCAGATCTCGGGCGGGGGGACGTTTGTGAACTCTCTTACTTTTTCCCCGAACAAGAGGCTCACTCCATCCAATAACAGGTAAAAGATAAAAAGAGAGGAAAAGGAAAGAAAAAAAAAGGAAGAGTGTACAGTACATTTCGCACTGGTGTCGAGTGCGTAGGTTGCGCACATCCCCCAATATCTCCCTTTCCTGCCTCAATATCCTCCTATATTATTACGGGTATTTGTTACCAGCACCGCAACTTCTCCCTCCCAAGCTCTCGTCCCGTTTCTAGATTACTTGTATCCTACTGCAAATACGGTACAAGTAGTTCTATCGAACATAAGAAGAATCCTTCCGCCCAAAATACCCTTTCCTCAATCGATGGCCTTGTCGACCTGTTGATAATCCCCCAACCCCATTCCGATCTCTCCCCCTCTTTCTCCCTCCCTCCCTCCCTCCCTTTCTCTCTTCCTCCCTTCCTCCCTTTCTCTCTTCTTCTCTTCCTCTCTTCCTCTCTTCCTCTCTCTCCCCTCTCCTCTGCACGGAGCTCCGACGCCGCCCGCTGTGAGGAAAGATTCTCAAATACACACACACACACACATTGCGCAGATATAATACCTATCGGTTACCCCCATCTGCACTTTTTCCCTTCTCCAATCCAACCGCCTTTTTCCCCTGCTATACGCCATTAAATTTCGGTCAATATTGAAGGGACTTTTTTTTCATTTTTGACCCGCTCCGGGCAAGATTGTCTCTTTTGGTTAGTAAGGCAGGCGGTTCAAGCTTAACCTCCCCCACCCGGTTCTCTTTCCCTCTCTCTTTCCCCCTCTCCCCTTCTCTTCCGACAAACCTCGCTCTTTCTCGCCATCACCGTCATCACCCTCATCACCATTCCAGCCCCGCTGTCATCAACGCTAGTTCTCACCTACTCAGCTCTTGTCGTCCCCCATTAATTATCATCACCACCATCACCATCACTGCCGCTATCGTCTTCTTTCAAACTAAATACAAATGCTAATATCTCTTGCCCGTTTTATCGATATAGCCGAAAGGGTTTTTTAATTTTTAATTTTTAATTTTTTTCTTTGAAAAAAAAAAAAATACCCATGGCAGGCCTGGATTGGGACCCTGGGTATCTGTGGCCCGACTATGATTACCGGAAAGAATTTGCGCGCTGTCTTTCCGATTATATCCTTGACAAGAGCGGGAAGTATGCTACTGTTGAGCCGGGAACGTGGTATCCGGGTATGCCACTACCTGACAAGGTTCATTCCTATTTCTCCTATTGTGTGAGGCAATTCGTCGAGTCCCTTTTCGATGACCTGTTTCAAGGACACCAACCCCTCCAGGAGTTCGGGGTGGGGGAGAACTACGCGATGGCGAGGTATCTACACGGGTCTAACGAAGAACCCTTCAATTCTATAGCCGCAACTATGCCCCGTGAGGTTAACAGCTTTGGGATCTTGGACGAGTTCGACAGTCAGAGCCCTTCAACAGCAGGAGATCCCAGGAGGCCTATCAGAGACCTCCACCGTCAGGGCGCAGTTCAAACTGACTTTTTCTCAACAACGTTAGGTTCGGAAGTATTTCCCCGGGGAACGCATGGAGCAGATCTCGCAGAGCAGGTGGAAACTCTTACCACCGAGATCATGAGCTCCAGGAAGAGCCGCGTCGAGCAGTTGGCCCCGCCCCCACCACAGTTCATAACTCTGGGGTCTCACGATCCTGGCCGCCCCAGAGGAAGTGCCTTGGGGAGAAGACGGAGGGCTTATAGCGGCGAAGAAAGCACTTCCGCTGGCTCGCAAACTGCCACCCGCAGAACAAAGACCAAGCGGGACCAGCTGCCCCTGAAAACTGTTGCCGGCGAAGAGGGCCAAAGCTCCAGGAGCTTTAGAGCGAACGCGAGAAGTGTCGATGAGAGCCCAAGGAATACAACCAGTGTAGGGACGGTTTCGAAGGAAGGTTTCAAGCATAAATGCGATTTGTGCGGGGAACGTTTTGAGTTCCCGGCTAGGCTCAAGTGCGGACCACCCGTTGTCTCTCAACATTAGGGTTAGGGCTAATAATGATTAGGAGCCACATGGAGACCATAACCCATGCTGAACGGAGGTATCGGTGTACGCTCTGTGGGTCGGTATTTTCTCGTAAGAGCTCATTGAAGAGACACCAGGAGGCAGCGACTGCTTGCAAGTCCAAGGCCCAGAGTGGAAACGATTCCCCTCCCCCGTCGACTCCCGAATCTGGAGCCCGAGATGCCACCTTCCATAGTACAAGGAGCGCAAGACCGCCCTCCATGGCGTCGCCCAGCCACGGTAATGTGAGCCCTTCAATCCCTGGGAATCAGTCCGTCAGTTCCCAGAATCAGTATCGTCAACATGGTCCGGCTTCTGCCCCCCGAGCATCGTTCGGGGGGGGTAGTTATTTGTCCCCAATGCCCCGGACATCCTCTCAACAATACCGCCCACCTCCACCATCGGTAGCCTCTCGTAGTTCGTACCGTCCACCAAGTGCCCGCTCGTACATAGATCCCAGGGTGCTCGATGGGATGAGCGGTGGGCACAACGATTGTGATCAGATCCGAACGGGCAATGGTTGTGGTACATGAGGTATGATACCCAACACCCTGAAATACCTAGAACACTCGATTAACATTCGATAGCTGTAAATCTTTGGTCTCTTGGAATACTGGTGTCAGTGTTGAGACGATAATTCAGCGTGTCATACTTGACCCCCCCCCCAGATTTGTTATAGGGGAAAACACTTCCGCGATATCTTGACCCGGGAACGGCGCTCCACCAATGTCGAGGCCAGTTTCTTTTTTTCCTCTCTTGCCCCCTACGATGTCGGGGGAAATGAACCCCCTGAGTAACATCTGGGGAAGCGCAGCTCTGGGCCCGAGCACGAATGGAAGAAATAGGGCCCGCCCCGTAGCAGCATAGAATCCTCTTGATGTTGTTGTGTAGGTATCAGAGAACATAATATGTATCTAAATTTTTCCCACCACGCGAACTTTTAATCGGTCGTAATATTGGCGGATGTTTTGCTTATTTCTTTGGCCCATCTATCATTCCTGCCCGAAAACTCTCCACTCTTGATTTTAATTTCAGTCATTTCCCCCCCCCCTTTCCTCCCCCCCACTCTCTCAAGCCCTTCCGAATGCTTTGTTCGTTAGATCTGTCTTTGATCTTTTATAGCGAGGCTCTCCCGGAGGTTCGGATTATTTTTGCGCCCTTGAATTGGCGGGGTGTGGGGTGGCGGCATTGTTGTAATGTTTCGAGGATGGTTGGATTGGTCGCTCCATCTAACACTGGATGTTGAGAACATTATATAGAAGAATTAAGGTCAGAACTTGTTTTTTTTTTTTCCCTTTCATCAAAAATAACCCTTCCTCATACTCGACCAACTGGGTTCACCTTTTTAATTTCACTTGAGGAAAGTGTAGTGTGCATCACGGCAGGTGTGATAATTTGTAGGCACATATGTGTGCTTATACAATTTAACTGCATGCAATAGTGTATGGGTACTGGTACGGTATTACAGTCCAACCCAAATATACTTGATATCATGCTGTGATTCCTAGCTTACCGGTAATCTACATAAGGGTACGTTTCAAACAAATGTGAGGAATCCCCTCAAGAATATTTCCAAAAGGGCCTTAGCTTAGTCGGCTAAAAAGGGTAATATTTTTACTCTAATTGTCCAATACCATCCTTAGGAGGGATCTAGAAGCGGGGTAACCCAAAAGGTGAGCTCATTAGTTTTGATTCAAAGTTCCACTTCCAGTACCGGCAAGTTGTGACTTTAGAAACCTAACCAACTATGATCTCAGGAAGGGACGGTTCGCCACCCAACCCCATTTATTTCCTCTCAATCTTCCCCCAATGGAGCAATGGAGACACAAAGCTTTCTGCGCATGCCAAGGAAAAACATGCGCAGTACACCACTCAGCTGAGCGAAGAAAAATACGCCAACACAGAGGTGTTGTGGTTTTGGGGAGAGAAGCGGGGAGGGGGCGATCGAGTGTGACAAGAGCTCCACAACTACCGCAAACTCCTAGCGAACTTCTTCCAAAGGCTTGAAACGGCCTTATCGTGTGTGTCTGGACTCTCAGGGAATTCACTCTTTCCTTTCTTTTTCAGTTATCAAGTCAAAGCTTCTTTTCCTCCACACCACTATATCAAAGCCCTTCCCCGCCACGGGCTGACCGGCCTCCCGGGGAAAGGACTCGAACTGAGCAAGTTAGATCGAGCTTATCCCCCGCTGCCTGTCAGGGGGTGTAGCAGCACGTGGGTTAGGGAGGTGAAAAGAAGAAAAAAAAGTCTAACTGTACCGGTACTATTACGGTTTTTTTTAATACCCTTGTCGTCGATCTGTCCCGAACCCTGTGCTCTGAGTCGTTTCGACTGCAGACTTGGGCAGTCGGCCCTTTGTATCATACCATCCTCATGCCAATGGCTCGAAACCCAGACCGCATGGATTTGGATGTGGTGGGGGATGACGGGCAGGAAACTGCTTGGTGGGAGCATTTGACGAAGGATGGTGTGCGCATGCGGGAGTTTGTGGAAAAGCTCAATCCGGCTTGCTTGCCAATCGATGCAGGCAAAGCTTGCCCCGAGGTGGATAATACTCTCGAGAAGGTGTATTACGGTCTACACCCCTCCCTCCCACCGGGCATATCCATACCAAGCTTTGCTACCGCCCGTGCCCAAACCATATCTACCATCATCGGCATTTTACGCCAGAGTCACCCAAACACTAGTGTATCAAAGGGCGACATGGGCGCCTTTTCTATATCCTCCTTTCTCAATGAGAGTTACCCCAAGTCCGCCCCGTTCAGCGTCGAAGCCCTGCATTCCCGAGCGGGTGATGGCGTCGGAGATGGGAATTCTGTGGCTTCCTCCCATGGAAGTTCTGGTGGGCCGAGGAGCAGCGGTTCTTTATCCATTCGTGAGAGGCCAAGCACCAGTGATCGCTTCCACCCACGTGATTCCCAACCACATCGACACCCACACCATGGGAAGCCCTCTACTCACACGCTGAGCGATGCTACCGGGTACAGTCAAGGCAGAAGCAATAGCGACTCCCCTGGTGCCTCTGGTAGCGCCCTATCAGACGGTTGTCCCTCAGCGGATGAAAGCACCATATCCTCATTCTCCTCAACGATAAACACCCCTAGCCGTTCTCGTACCCCTTCCCACTCTCGCTCCGTTCTTAATCGAGGTCCTCCATACGTTCGTACTGGCAATCATTTCGACGTGCCCCGTTCAAGGGCCTTGAATGGGACAGGGCCCGGAGGACAGCATAAGTGTGATGAGTGTGAAAAGGCATTCCCATATCCTTCAAAGCTAAAGTATAGGCCGCTCATGACCTACATTTTGGTATTGTCCTTTTACCCCACGCTTACCATTTGTGTCAGAGACCACATGCATATCCATCAACAAGATAAGCCACTCCCCTGCGATCACCTTGGCTGTCTCAAGAAGTTCAAGAGAGCGCGAGAGCTCCAGGCCCACAAGAAGACACATGACAGACGTGGTACGTAGTCCTCGCTCGTTTGCCCGGATCGTGGCCGAGGAAGTGTGGCTTGTTAAGCTATTGAACTGCGCCTTAATTAACCGGCCTTACTAACTACAGCCACTTTAATTTCCCGCCCAAGTCAAGTCCAATTCCCGGCCCGGTCCCCGGGCCAGTCCCCAGTTCCTCTTCCTCCTCCACAACACCCCTTCAGCCCCTTGGGCCGTGGTGAGTGCTCTACAAAGAGTAAGCCCCCGGATTCTGATAGGACTTCCTCTACGTCGCCCGGGGATGAGTACACGTTTTCTGGGTCACCCTCTCCGGCTTCGAGTCATATAGGTGGGCGTGTGGCAACTCCAGAGCGACCTGTTATCGATATACAAGGGAGGGAGGTGATAGACCTCAAGGAACCTGACCAGTATGACTATTTTCACTTTGAGTTCACATTGTTTCAAGTTACTTACCTGACTTGTACAGGCCCACACTTCCCGCCAGTGTGCGCAAAAAGTTGGACATACAGCTGTTCCCTAATCTCCCTGGTATCCAAAGCTAGGTGGTATGTTTTGGAATGACTCTTCTCCCAGATGCGATTTAAACTTTAACGTCGGCGATCAGGACGCTGACGGCACCTAACAAGAAGCGATTGGTTCCCAGGGCTATTCATTTACCGGGATTATCCACCTCTATTTTTTTTCCTTTCTTTTTTTTCCTCCCATTCTTTTTTTTCCTTCGTGTTTTCTTCTCAGCTATTTCGCCACGTGGTTAACATTGGGAAGGGGGTGGTATATTCGTTGGTATGTGCTTGACATGTGAAGATGGAGTAAAAAGATGGATGAGTACCGGTATACCGGTATTTTAAACTTGAGGCGTTAACTGGAACATTCGAGATGTGTGCCTGAAGATCACGATTTATAACGGGAGCACAGATGCGGATGATGATGATGGTGGTGGTGGTGATGATTGTTGGTTCGGATGGAGTCTAGGGGTGGGGGTAGAGAGCCGAGTGTTTGCAATGTATAGGCCCACAGCACAGCTCTGGTACCATATTGGTTGATATCAAGAAATGTCTTTTTATAAATAGTTTATCTTGAAACTTTTATGCTGTTTTTTCTTTTTCCTTTTCTTTTCCTTTCTCATTCATGTACAAGTATACTCTGTACAGTCTAATGCTGCCCGCCAGCATCACAAAGCTGATGATGAGCTGTAGAGAGAATCAAGGCTGTGGGATGACAGGGGGTGGTATTGAGGCTGTGTGGTGATGTCCCAAGCAACAACACGACCCTACAAGCCTCACAAAAATTGCCTTGGCGGTGCCTCAGAAGGCGACTCGATCAAAGAAAAAGGTGTTGGATGAATGATAATCTTTGCAGCCTTAGACCTCTCGCGTACCGCATTCTAGATCTCCTGCAAGACTGCCTTGTCCGTTTCGATTTCGCGTCGAGAACAGTCATGCATTGGACTACCTGTACGAACAAGGCGATTTACCCTTGCAGGGGCGTCTCCAGATATGAGTCCGCGAACAAAAGACTATCCAGTCCAGGCAACCGTGTGTCGGGATAAATATTTCAGATATCCTCGTTCTAGAAGGGAATTCGAAAGCATATCCTGTCTCCAGGAAACCACACACAGCTGAGTCAAGCTTTCCGAGCCTTCCTACACCTCACAAACAAATAGGTAGGTAGGCATAATCTCACCCGTGAAGCAAGAATGCAGGGGGGTAATTTTGCACATTTTACTGACACTCCCTTTTCAAGACACGCCCTTAGGGAAACTCTCTTATAACAACGCCAACAAGTCACTTTGACCCGCCAGCCTTCAAAGGTGGATATCCACGTCTGTGTAAATACATAAAGAGTATATCCGATCGCCAATGACCTTGCGACCAACGCGGCCCTCATGGCTGTTCGAAGAACACGAGTTGGAGGAGCTCATCGAGCAAAGTAATCCAACAATTTCCCTCTCCGCTCTGCGAGCCAGTCGAAACGAATGCAAACTCGTCGACTCGGTGCTCAAGCAGATCCTCTCGGTGCAGAATATCCAGACGACTCCTGGGGAATTCGAACTGTACTGGGCGAAAACTCATCTGGCAATGGACATACAAAGTATTCTGAAGCGCTGGTGTAGCGTTGGATGGGACAAGACTTGGGAAGGTTCGGCCTTGCGTGATCTATGCTTGGAGGCTCCCAAGCGGCATGGGGATCGGGATATGGACGATGCAAGAACCACCACAATTGTCGGTGCTCCTACCGATACTACGGCGGAGCAAAAGGTCGGGCTCCTGAAATCTGAGCCCACGCGTCCCAGGTTCCCCGAGACCCCTGCCGCGCGCCGCCAGGACTCGTGTTCAGGATGGACGCCGTGCAATGGTCCGGTGGTGGAGTCCGTTGGAGCTGAAGTTACTGCTGCTGCTGCCCGCAGAGTATACCCCATCGTTTCCAAGCGATCGCTCGAGGACCCGGATGACCCTCAGGCCCGGCGGGTTTCGAGGTCAAAGTCTGTGAATTTCGGAGACCGAACCCAGTTTACATGCCCATACTACGCCAGGAACTTCGATGAGCACCCGGAATGTGCGAACAAGTCGTTCCCTAACCCCCGAAAGTTGAAGTGAGTTCTTCTAATATCAATCAGTGCGCATTTTGTCGTTACCCCCTCTTCATATCGAAGGTGACTAACACGTTTCGCAGGGAACATGTCTGGCGCTGGCTAAAGCCCTTCAAGTGCCCCACCTGCGGGGAAGGGTTTGGTCGTGAAAAGACCCGAGCGATTCACTGCGATCAACGCAAGACGAAATGCAAGTGGATGCCCTCGACATACGAGGGCAGCGCCGAGCAGCGAAGGGATCTTAAGATTGAGTCTGCAAAGAGCACGAAGGAGATGATCGAGATCTTTGAGGAATATGAGCAGGAAAAGCGTTAGTTGTACCTCTCACATCTCTCCCGAGTCGACTAACGTCTATTTCCTCCGGCACAAAGAGCTCACAAATACTTCCTATCAGACAATCCACGGGACAGTAACTCCCCTCCTTCCTCCACCAACTCCCACAACCAAGACAAGAACAGCAACAACGATGATGACAGCACCAGTGACGAGCGCCATCAAGTCGGAGAATACAGAGACAATCAGGATGGCAGAAGCTCCAGCCCAGAATCTCAGAACGCCTCCAATGCTAGCGTTTCTGATGGTGACAGCGACCACGGAGACAACTACACCACAACCAAGTCAAACCATACGCATACACAGCCCCAGCAAACTAGCAGCGCTAGGATGGGAGAAGGAGTAGGCACGGACATCGATGCCAGAAGGGATTCCATCAATAATGATGAACGAGAGGAAGAGGAAGCAGTAGGACTAGGTTTGAACCCACGCCATGGCTTCGACCACCTTAACTCCAACAACGCCCGACATTCGCTGAGTCAGGACTCATTCCAGTACCCGTTACGACAGCTGTCGCGAGATGAAGATGAGAGCCGGACTCTCTACCTCTACCCCCACCAGCACCAAATTTCACCCATCTTAAGATCGTCGTCAGATATAGACTATTCCGCCTCAAATACCCCTAACACTACTACTGTTCTACATCCCGGTGCTATTTCCACAAATATCCTGTCAAGCGTTCCAGAAATCGTGGTTACCCATGCGGAACCGCGTATCAAAAGCCCTACCATCACCCGCTCTAGTGATACGAATCCATACGCGCAGCAAACCGTTTACTATCCGAATCCTACCGCCTGTTCTTCCTCCAATGGCCTATATAATCACCACCACCACCATGGGAACTTTAAGGGAGGAGAGGAGGATGAGAGCAGCCCGTGTGCGGAGAATGTGCCGTACGGATTGAACTCGCGGGGGTTGGGTCAGGGATATGTGGCGGCGCCGTTCATAACTGCTGGGTATGGGTCTATCCCGTCGATGGCTTTCAGGATGAGTTTTGGTTGAGTGATTTTCGGTGCTTGGTTGGTGGTGGTGGGACACCAGGAGTCCCGGACGAAAGTATGGGAGGGAAGAAGGGGGGGGACGAAAGAACGAAAGATACGACCAAAAAAAAAAACCTCAGGTTGAAAATCACCTTTGATATTAAAACTTATGATACCGCTTCTCCTTTTCTCTTTTCAGACACTGTTCTTCTGCTTGCTGTTTACTATTGCAGTTTCACTCTTCTTCATCCCAAATGTTTCACGAAACCCATACCTTAGCTTGCTTCTTTTCTTTGCAATTCCATTTCAACCCCATCATCGTGTCCTTTACCTCTCCCGATTCCATGTCTCCCTTAACTTTGTATCCTTCTCCTTTCATTTTCTTCATCAGGTCTCCCATACATCTCGTGTTTTTCATCTCATTCGGTTTTCCATCTTATCTTACCTTAGAAACGGTGTCTGGCGCATGGCGTAACACCAATTTGCTTTTTTTATTTTATTTTATTTTATTTTATTTCTCATTTTACTTTTCAAGGCTTAATTCTACCGGTATTCCACTCCATCGATGCATTCCACGAGTAACGTATTCGTCCGTGTCCAAGTCAGAAGCGTAGACCAATTCCCCATCTCGGCGTACACGACGTGGATGGAAGGTGAGGAAAGGAATGGTGGGGGGTGGGGAGGAAATAATTCCAAAGCTTGACTTTCTTTCCTCTCCAAGGGTCCTGTTCACAACCACCATACAGTGTATGTACGAGTACAGTACTCGTACAATACCTTGTTCGCCAGGTAAGGAAGGGACCGAGAGTACAGTTAACAGTAACGAGTAAACCACGCTACGGCACGATGACCCCTACCGTAGTCATTGTCGGTAGTAAATAGTCATCGTCGGTATACAAAACGCAAGCCCCAACAACAAACCCCCCCCTCCCCCGCGCAATGTTTAAAAGTCATGACCTGGCTGATAGGCGTGGCATTACAGGTATGATGATGATAAGTGAGTGCCTCGTTTTTTAAAACTTTATTTTTTTTCTCTCAGCGTGCAAGAGTCAGCCAGCTTATTCTTACTTTCGGTGGTGCGGGTTGTGTGCAAAAAAGTTAGTTACAAGTTGCTGTTACCCTATGGCCACCGTCGCTCCCTTTCCTTGGTACCCGTATGATAACAAGGCTGCCACAAAAAAAAAAAAAAAACTACGGTAACAACAATACCCACCTATGATACAACCCACAGCATCGTTCATCTTGTCTTCCTTTTTTTTCTATTCCTTCAGGGCGATGAACGCCATATGACAGGGGCTGTACAGTACGAGTATTTGTATTTACTTTGTGTTCCATCTTTTTTGTTCCTCTTTTTTTTCTTCTTCTTCTTTTCTTCCGCTTCTTCTCCTTCCGGTGGGGACGGGTGTGTTTGTGTGTGTGCAAGTTTCGTTTGTGCTGTTGAAACCAGAAAAGATGCAGCACTTGCCCTACGTATGGTGGTGGCGTGTGGATGGATGGGCGAGGGGGGGGGGTGAAGTGTACGAGGGCAAGAACCGTACTGATCTGGAATAGTGGCTTTGTGGAAAGGAAGAAGAAGAAAAAAAAAGGGACTCGGAGGAAGGTGGGTATCATTGTTTCAGGCACGGTTGGCTAGGTAGGTATCATACTTGTACTCTACAAGTAGGGGCAGCTTTGAAAAGGAACCTAACTGTGCAGGTCTTATCATAGGTTGCGGTATGTTTCCGCCTCTGGAATTTGGGTCATCATAGGCATATGTAGGGTGTTGTGCTTGACTTACTGGCGAGGTTGAAGGGGTGGGTGAGTAGGTATGATGAGTTATGGTAGGTGGGCGGGTGTGTTGTGGGGCAGCCTTGTGTTCGTTTTGTCCCTTGGATGAAATACAAGTACCTTGTGCGAGTATAGTACTCGAGTACTTGGACTCACACAGCACTGTGCGACTGCGGTGTGAGTACTCGAGTACTGGACATCGGTTGGTTCGTGTTACTGTTGGCGCCGGGCGTATTGCTGGTGGCAGAGGGCAGTCAGGGCCTTGCCACGCGGGTCAGTTAGGATGTTGCATACGGGAGTCTGCCGGTACCGGTACTCTAGACTAGACTTGCCTATAACAGCATGTTTTAGATGGTACTTGGCTGGTAACTCGCGATGTGGCTTTGTGTGGCACCTATGTTATGTTTCATCTGGGCACTTGTGCTGTGGGTTCGGGCCTGATGGTCGAGTGGGCAACTGTTCGGTTGATGCTCTAGACAGAAGAAAGTGAGATGGGATGGATGGTCTAGAGCGTTGCGAAGACTCTGGGTTGTTATTATTCAGGCGGGTGTCGGAGATGCGGTCTTTTTCGATGTCTGGACGTCTGGATTCGCAACGAGCACGTTGCTGTACATGACATGACATGATAACCGCCGGTATTTGTGGGGAAAGTGTGTTTCTGACACAAACATAGAAGTGTTCAGCCTTGAATGGAAGAGGAGGGTTCTAGACGTATGTATCATTGTGCCATACCATACCACACGGCACCATAACCTATCAAAATCCTGTCACACGGTATGGCACCGCACGACATGGTTCGAGAAAAAAGGTAGGGCAAGATGACAGGTACAGGCTGGAAATGAGAGGGTGGTTGCGGTTTACGGCAACTCTTGCACCGAGAAATGGTAGCTGCCGTCAACGGGGGTGACTTTCTGACCTATGATACTTTCACCCTCCTACCAATTGCGCAGCGCTCGGGTACTCGAGTACTCTTACAGTATTCCATCACCGAATCACCTCGGCCAACCTGCCAATCGGTCCAATCAATCAAATCAATCAGTTGGATCTACCGTACTCGAGCACCTGCCACTAGCCCGAATCTCCGAGCTAAGCCTCCCTCCCTCCTCTTCCTTTCCGCGCGTCTGGAATATTACCCCTACGGTAAGGTGCAAGTAATTGGCTGCGCACCGGTCCAATGACACTCTCTTCGCTGACCCACTCACCATGGTAAATACTCGAGTACCGGTATATTAGTCGCCAGCATGACAAACCACCTCCTCCCATCCGGGCATATGATAGGACACAACACGCGGGAGATAAACCTCAGTAGTACCCTTTTTTTCACCACCCCCGCCCATCCATCGCACACTCGGAGTTGGGTCCGATGAAGTCAAAACAAGGTGTGGCCAAAGGATTTGTCTGCCTCCCTCATACGAGTGCTAGGTATGTACTCGTACAGTACAGTACGAGTATGGTATGATACTCGCCCGAACTCTATTATTTCTTTTTGGACAGAGAGGGGTTGCGCTCGATCGGGACAAGGCTGTCTTTGCCAAGAGCCCGACCGGCAGCGAGCAGCGTATGATGCTACCTAAGCACCGATATCCCGAGGTCGGCGTACCAAGCCACTCGAAACCACATGCGAATCCGAGAGTCTTGGCAGCTCGATTTCCGGATACTTTCGAAACCGGATATCGTAGTAATGAGCACCCGGATGCATGCGTGGGTAAAAATTGGGATAAACTACTGTATTCCTGCTATCCCATACAAATCCCCTATGGAGACAAGGGTTTATGCCGTCCGACCTCTGCGGGCGCGCCCGAGTACCCGGGTACTCGTGCTAGGACAGACGGGAAAACCGACCGGTGAGTAACAGGGATCGGTACTCGAGTACAGTACAGGTATTTCTTTTTGTTACCCTACCGGTACTTTGACGAGTTCACTTTTTTGCCTGCCGAATACCCCTGCTCGTCGGCCGCATTGTTTTCGTTGCGCCCCCGTTGAAGAATGTACCGGTAGGTGTCGTGATCTTGTGGATCTTGTCAGCTTGATGGGGTTGATGAACCTTGCGGGAGGGGGGGGGGGCTCTCTCTTTTTTTTTTTTTTTTTGATTCGTCGTGAATGGAAGTGGGGTGGGGGTACTCGAGTAGGGGGTTGAGATGCGTTTGTGTGTATGGACGACGGGAACTGTTGTGGAGCGTATCGGTGGAATGGTGGAATGGTGGAAGTGGCAGGGCGTCACTTGCCATGGCTCGGAGTTGATGATGCACCGAGTTGTAGGGCTCATAGGAATCAAGCTCTACGTAGTGGTCCGGATCTCCGATACCGCCGCCTAAGGTTTCTAACTGTCCCTGCCTCATGAAGGGAGGGCGCGGCAAATTTAGGTTTAGAGCCAACTGCACTGTGCCGGTACGGTAGGCATGGAGTCTGCTCTATGAAGGTGTGCACAATACCGTATCGGTGGTGGAATGGAAACGGTCTGATTCCTGACTCTCGAGAAGCGAGTGGTAAGTATGGTATTTTACAGTACAGTACTCGAGTATATGGTATGGTATGATCTCGTCTCGGGGTGACCACGAGTCATCTCTTCGCACAATGGCCAACGCTGGCCAATTGTCTTATCATATTATTAGAAGTTTTGGATTGCCCTATTGATTATGGCATCATGGTACCGGTAGTATTACTCTATGATATCGAAAGAGAATAAAAACCCGCACCGCCGCTCCATTCAATATCCTATGATGTTTTCCTGTCTCAACTACGGCGCTTATACATACGCCACACGCTGGATATGTTAGGAGAATGGTTAGAGGGAGTGACTATCATCCCACAAACACCTGATCATACAAGCATTTACCAGTAGGCCTACGAGTAATTCGTGACATCAGTGAAAGAGATCTACTCGAGTACGAGTATGATACCGGTACTGTACCCTTATCTAAAGCTTCTTTCTTCAAGCGCATCTGATAAATCACTATCATACCACAGTTAACACCAGTGCATTAATAAGCAGACCAACTCATCATCACCCGTCACCCCATAAGTTGGAGCATTACAATAGGTGGATGGAGTGAGGCGAGAGAGAGTGGAAAATATGATGCACGGAACTTTAAAAGCAGGCGGCCAAAAAAAAAACCAAAAAAGAAAACAGCAGCAAAAGGATCAAGGTATGATAACATGGCTACAGGCGAAGCTTTCCATATCCAACCAAACCTCCCATTGCTTCTCCGCCCTTTTTTTTCTTTCTTCCCCCCACCCCTTTTTTTCACCCCGGCAGGGGAAGCTAAATGCAGCAAACAGCCAAAGCTCCGCCATGGGGGTTGATGATATGATTGAAGAATACATGCTGCGGACATTTAGACGAGGGAGGAAGACAGCCTCGATCTTCAAAACCTGGGGTTTTTAGCTTCATTTCCCTCTTTTTTTTTCTTCTTCTTCTTTCCTTCTTTTCTTCTTTCTCTTCTCTCTCCCATTTCGCCTCGTTGTGGAGAAAATGTCGTGGTACTTTTGATTGTGTCGTATCTTCCCCCGATTCCTATCCATGCAGCGGATGACTTCGTTTACTCTACAAAGTGATTGGATTTGCTGCGACCAGGGTACTGCGCTCATAGTGGAGCGGGGCACGGCGGATTGTATAGTACTCGCACTGGTACTAAAAGTGTGCGCAAAGTTCTGGGACGCTCGGCTCTCTGGCTCGTCGAATTTGCGCGCGCGTGTAACGTTGAATAAGCAGATTGCTTCATTGGTCGTCGTCCTATGGCTAGTTTTTGGGGAAGGGAAGGAAGAAAAAAGTGTGTCGTGAGTGGCTAGAGCAACACCCTGCTCTCGTTGCACCGTGGAGGAATATGATATCGGTATGGTGCATGCGGAATCCGCTCCCATTTCGTGGCAGGGCGAGGTGGTGGAGGCGACGAGTGGGCAATGCTTGGGGAATCAGTCCCAATGGTTGCCGATGCTAGGTTAGGCGATTGCAGCCATCGAATACTGGTACGGTAGCTGGTGTACTGTACTAGTACGGTACAGTATGAGGCTTAGACAGCGCTCGTTTGGCCGGTAACACAATAACGTAAAATCTCTTGAAATCCACTTCCTCCTCCTCCTCCTCCTCCTCCTCCTCCTCCTCTGAAAGGCTGGCTTGGGAAGGAATAGTGGCTACCAAATGCGGTACCATGGGATCCGTCAAGTCTTGTTAACCGGTGCGAGGCTGTGCTTAACCTCGTGGGTTACACTGCACAAGGCTTAGTCACAGAGACAGTGTGTGGAACCGGTGGTTGGTGAAGAGCGGCAGGGGCCGTGATAGAAATGTCTCGACGGTAAGCTCGACAAGATTCGGGGGAGAAGTACCGTACCCTACTCGAGTATCATACCCGTACCATTCCGTAAAGGTCAACCGGACCAAACCAGCAAGAGAGGGCGAGCAGACCCCCGAGAGCTGATTGGACAGGCTTTTGTTCATGATGGCTATGATGCTGGTTGGGGGTGGTTTTGTTGTTTCTACGCTAGCCCGAGTTTACCGTACTGGTAACGGGGTCGGATTTGTAATGAGCGTGGTGACCAAATTGTGCCTGTAGAATAAATGTGCGGGTTGTGTGCGTTACCAAATCTTCGCAGAATCACTAATTATGATAATAGCTTAGTATCATACAAGTATTCGGGGGCAACCACAATATTATGCACACTCGAGTACTCGTACCGGTATGATACTGTGCTCGAGCAAGTTGGCGCTGGTAGCCGGGATTGCCCGTATGGCTAGACATATTTTTTTTTTTAAGCCGTCACCTCTCCAAGTACGAGTACAGTACTTGTATCATAAGTGACCACTGCGACTACAGAATGTTTCGAGCGGATGCGACAACCTTGTTTGGAACGTCCCCTACAGGTACTGTATTATTGACCCAGCGTGACAGCTAACGTGTCTGAGGACCTGAGTTTCATCGAGTGTGTTGTGTACAGTACAGTACAGTACAGTACTCGTACCATACTGGTACGGGCAAGCAGGTGGCGGGTTTGTGGCAATGAGCAATTGTGCCTGCTATAGGGATGACGGTATGCAGAAAAAGCTGCATCATATTTAACTTATTCATGAATGGAAGGAAGTGCGAACCACACGAATAGTTTGGGTGAACCTGGAGGGATAGCTTCCTGATGACCTCTTGCATAATTACTATGCTTAGCTCTTCGCCAATCTTCCTGTGCGTGTCCAAGTTGGTAAGAGGTTTGTGTGTGTGTGTGTGCGTACGTTTTTAGCCCATCGCATCGAAGGGGGGACATTGATACCAATTTTTTTTTTTTTTTTTTTTTTTTTAACTTATCATACTGGCCTGCAGGAGCTTGAGCCTGCCGTACCCCAGTCAGAGTGATCCTACGGTACTCGTACTGTGCTCGTACTGTAACCGCAACGTCGATGGGGTGGAACAAGGTACTCTTCTCAGCTGTTGAGGTTGAGCTATCATAGCTTGAGCTGTCCACCATCCAATTCCTTTTCGGGCAAAGGCAATGGCTGCAAAGGAAGGGGAAGCCCACACCTTGTGTAACGGCAAGCATTCTTTACCGCAGATCTCGCTGCAACACTCCAAGCTTGATCTTTCCGACTTTTTTTTTTTTTTTTTCTTTCTCTTCCTCTCCCACTTTACCGGTACTCGAGTATCATAATCGAGGGTTTTTTTTCTTTCTTTTCTCTTCGCGTGCCCCCGTGACTCTCCACTCGAGTACCTGTACGAGTACTGTATGGTACTCGAGGGGATGCTGGAGAAAGTGCTTTTCCTCACACATCTGGCCGTAACGGGCAAACTGCCTGGCCATGTGCTGCCAGCTTCGTTCGACGGGAGCCAATACCTTTAGATAAAATTTCCCGGTTAGCTTCTTGCTGCCTACCCACATCCCCTTGTCCTCCCCCGTGAGCTCGCAACAGACGCGTAACATACTCGAGCAGTGTGAAGCTGTGGGGACCGGCTGATACAATACGCACCATCTCGGATTGCTCGGGCACCGTATACCGGTACGTAGGTGGAGAAAAGTTCTTTCGTCCAAGGTTGGTATGGGAGGCTGACTTCGCGTTTTTTTCTTTCTTTTTCTTTTTCCCTCTCTTTCCTCTCCCTTCCTTTCCTTTCTCCCGTGCATATTCTCATTCCCGTTTTCCTTTTTCTCCCTTTAGTCTACCGGCAATGCTTACACCATGTTTCGTGGGCATATTGGTGGTGAAGGGTGATACCCGCACGAAGACGGGAGCTTCCTTAGGAGATGTCTGTCTCTAGGTTGGTGGGGTGGTAATTGTGGGTTGATGGTATGATGGTTGAGCGTTTTACCTCAATACCGGTATTCTACTCGTGTATCGTGTGAGTTGGAGTCTTCGGGCCGGAGCCATGTTTCGTATATCCTACTGTACAGTACACACATGTCGGAGGCGGAAAGACGAAATGACTGATTCCAAATTCATGTTACAGGTGCAGTACCGGTACTGCCGACGAAGGGTTGTGTCTACAGTTCACCAGTCTCCGCCACTGGAGAGAGATAGATATGCGCTTGAAATTTGATGGTGAGCTCATCGAGCACAGCGACCACCTGTATCGTGTACTGTACTCGAGTACCGGTATGTTACTGTACGAGTCGCCTTCGCCTTTTTTCTTCCTTGGCGCAATACGGTGTAAACCATACAAGTGATTGGGTTGCTCCCCCTCCCCCCGTTCTCGCACTTCAGACGCAGGTTTCGTAGCCTTACGCTCTTGCGCACTTTCGCTTTCCTAAAGCTTACGGGCCCCGGCATAACTGAGTGTAGGTAAATCGCAGACCCGTAGAGTCAGGCAAAAAGATCAAATTAAATGAAAGGACGAATGGGTAGAGGTGGCGAAAGGGGAACACAAAAAACTTTTCAACTCCAGGGGAGTTCAGTATTCTATTGTGTAGTGATTATTTTTGAGCCATGTTCCCTCGCTTTGGATGGGACTGAATGGAGGAGGCAGGAATTCAGTTTCCTTGAGTCTGACGAAAGCCTAATTATCGCACCTTGGAGCTTAATCGTGGGATTTGTAGGCTTTTCGTGTTGGTTTTGTGATGGTCATAGCCATAAACCTTCCAATCAGTCGAATCAGCCTGGTTATTCCCTGCCGACTGATTAAACAACCGCTCCAAGCATTTTGGCTTGATGGAACCCGTTGGAAAGCCCTCCAAAGCTCTATCTGATGATTACAATAATAATGATTACAATAATAATGGTAGTAATGTTACTTACTACTTTGTGGGTGGATGGGGGAATACGAATACGGTGGGAGGGAGGCACGAGAGGAAGCATGTAAAGTCCATCGTTATCAATTCTTCATCTGGTGCATTTGCTAGGGCCATAAGATCAGGTGGTTTGGATTCCTTTACCATTCCTCTTGAGGTCTTGCTGAGGAGCGTGGTTTCTGGTAAAATGACTCCATCCGTTGAAATTTGTGCGATTTTCTTCTTTTTTCTTTTCTTTTCAAATTGAGTAGTGAGATTTGGTATGCATGGGTTCTCTGGGCGAGATTCTTTTTCTGGTCCACGTTTGAATATTTGTGCGAGCCTCCAATTTTTCAAATGCTGGCCTATCGGTAACAAGGCTTGGGTTGGAAAACCATTTTCCACCAATGATGCCGTTGCTGCTCTGGTATGCCGGTGGCCACCTGGGAAGAGATTTCAGGCCCTTTTACTCCATTCGGTGCTTTGTTACCAACTCGTGAAAGGACACACATTTTATCATAGCTCTACCTTTTTTCTTTTTTTCCTTCTTCATTCAGTATGGCACTCGAGTAGTGCGCTGGAAAGGCTGGTATCGTCTTGGGTTGGTTGGATTGGTATGATACCGGTAAATATTTTTTATTGTTACATTTCTGATAGTTTGGATACTACTCGAGTATGATGGATGGGCTACCGTAAGTTAGTGAGGGAGTGAGGGCGAGAGATGCCCAATGAGGAAGTAAAAGAGTTCTTCCAAAGCTGTTATAGCTCCGCCACTGTCACTGAGATGGGTTTTGTGAGTGGGGGGGACAAGAGGGAGAAAAAGTTCTCCATGATACATGTGGCCAGCGTCGATGAATGGGAATCAAGAGGATTAGATGTGTGCGCGCGCATCTGGGAGACCTCCTCCCCCATACTTTGTTTTTTTTTTGGGTACTGTACTACTACGAGTACTGTACGAGTACTCGAGTACACCACCAGTAAGGTAGAAGGGCGGAAACTTATGCTATAAGGCGGGAGCCCCCCCCCCCCACCCCACCTGTACTAGTATAGTACTTTTCTCCTCTGGCGGCAGGTTTTCGATTGATCGTTTCTTGACGGACAAGAGTGGCTCTTTCTGCTCCCACCTTGTCTATTGTTGGCCTTTTAACGTTTTCGTTCCCTTCATTTACTCACGTTTCCCTTTTATCTCTTCTATCGCGAGTACCGCGCGAGTGCTAGGACGAGCGAATATTAACTCAATTCTAGCACTCGAAGCACCGATACACTGGACTGCAACCTAGATTTCGCTACTTGAACGCTTCGTTCGCGTTCGTCCTTTCAACTTCTCCTGCCGCATGTTCCCCTTCTACACCTGCCGCCTGCCAGAATTACAGATGATGAGGTCTTCGCCTGGGGACTACTCGCTGCAGGCAGCCATCCCCCATCGCTTTACCATCACCCTTCGGCTACGTGCTCGACTTTTCTCCGTTATCAGGAGAGACAAACAGTGTATTCGCACCTCGCCTAAAGCTATTGAGAGCTCGGTTTCGGTGCTTTGCCCCTCTACAACGCCAACAAAAGCTTCTTGGGCGCAGACCGTGGTTCCCGTTGAGCCCGGCGCGGTTTCGAGCGCATGTGCAGCACCAACTGGAAAGGAGAAATCCCAACAACTCTTTGTTCCCGTCAGGATCACTATTAGCGGGCGCCTGAGCTATCTTTCTACCTTCCTCAAGTCGGTAGGCAAAGGTGCGCCTAGCCGCCTCGAAAGTGATGGGTTGCCTTTTAGGAAGGGGAAACTTGTTAGCGGAGCTTCAAATATTAATGGGTCTTCCGTATGCCCTGCGGGGTTTACTGGGGAAAAAGGTTGTTCTAATCATACCTTTTCGCGCGGGCTGTCTGATTTGTGAGTTCTTCTTTCGCTTAACTTTGGTTTCTGTACCGCCGCCTCGATCATGCGAAACCTAACCCTGCCTTTTCTCTTAGGCCGTACTGCACCTGTCGCCCCCCCAACTACACCACAACCACGGTTATACCTGGGTCGAAGGGTCCTGAGAGAGATCAAGGGACGCTTAGTAGGGATTCTGCTTCTACTGAGGGTAAAGCCACCTAATTTCGCCACCTTTCTTGGAAGAATAACCGAGCTGACATTTGACTGTTTGGTAGAGCGACACAATATGTCACTCGGCACAAACACAACAGAGGGAACAGATACTTATGATGCTGCTCCCGAAAATTGTAAGTTGGGCCCTAGGAGGGATTGAAGGAGGGGCAGTTCATGAGTCCTGGTTACTGATATAATGAAAAAGATGTTGAGGTTGCTCCCAGTCCTACTCTCACCCTTGCCTCGTCTTCTGTCCCTACTCTTAGGCCTACTCATGAGGTGGAGGTAAGAAAGGTTTCACGAAAATCGGTCATGGAAAGCGACTTCCTACACTTCTACAGCACCCTAAAACCGTACATCGTCCAACGCGAGCTTCCATCTCGCTCTGTTGAGAGAGTACCTCGCCCGGTTGACGATGGTCCCTTGCCAGAACATGACGGTCTTCGGGTATTAGAAAAAGGGCCCTTTACCACTCCGGCCGGCGGGACCAGTGCTCCTGAGGTGCAAGAGCCGCCATCCGAGCCCCCGCCATTGCCAAAGAGTGTTGGCGTGTTTCATGAGAAAGATACTGAGATCAAGCGTGCTGACCCATGCCTGGCTTCGGTGCTAGCAGCACCCACAGGCTCTATCAGTCGCCAGTTAATATCTCAGCCCATCGCACCACGCGGGCTTCCCGACGAAGTTCTCGGAAAAATAATGACATGGGATCTTGACGTTCTTCATGCACGTACCGGGATCTCGCAGACATTGAGCTCATCGCTCCACTCTGCGCAAAACAAGTGGCAGATTCTAGCATTTGACTGGGCATTCAAGACGGGTGATGCATCCATGTTTCGTGACAGCTATAGCTTCGCATACAACAAACCTTTGGCGTTGCGACTGCCTTGCCCATCGCCTCGCATAACCGAGCTTGAGGTTGAGAGTGGGCCCGTTCTACGCAAAGCTGCCAGCGAGATCCAACCCTGTGATGGTGGGGGGAGCGGGAGTAGCAGCAGCACACAGGCTCGACAAGGGTCCGGGTCGAGAGCTCATTTACAACAATCGAAGTCTACTCAGCCCTCACATGGTAGAAAGCGGGCGAATGATGGTGATGGTGATGATCGCAAGGGCAAGGGGAGGGGGAGGAGAGAAGGGCCACCTGTCGGTGGTGACCCGCCGCCCCCTGGCTCCGAGGACGGGGGTGTCCACTGCCCGTACTGGGTGAGATACCGGCTGAATTGTAAGAAAAAGTCTTGCATCAATCGGAAGAAAAACCTCAGTAAACTCAAGTACGTTCCCTATTCTTCGACGTGTTCATTTCTTTGATTCCAAAAGCAACTGTTTCTAACCCACACAAACTTGTACAGAGAACACCTTAGGAGAGCTCATTTCCTGCATCTTCGTTGCCCTTTTGAGAACTGTAAGTTTCACGCGGGCGACAAGTTTCAGGTTAAAAGGCATCAGAAAACTGCCCATGTCGGTCAGGCTGAACTGGAACCAATCCTGCGGACTACGGATTCTAAACTCCGCAGGAAGAATGAGGCCTTGGGAACCAGGAACCTAAATTGGGACCAAATATATGAAATCTGTTTCAGGGAGGAACCCGACGACCCGGTAACTGAGCTCATGGTGAGCCCTGATGGAGCTGATTTCGAGAGCGAGGGCGAGGAAGAGGAAGAAGAATTTGAGGATGAAGAAGACGATGAGGATCTTGGAGCCCAAGGAGGCTATGGCGGCCGTGAGGCTCCCGAAGAAAATGCAGAGTATCGGGGTAGACATACCGGTAAGTGGCGGTATCTCTTTTTATATGCTCGGCATCTAACCTTTACAGGCGATCCTGGTTCCGCGGTTGCTGTTGAGGAAAATCACCGGGAGAACCCTATTCCTCCCACTCCTTTCAAAGCCAGCCAGAGCATGCTCAGCAATGGGGCTCCAACAATTCCCGATACCCCTGAACTTGCCCCGATGAGTGATGAAGGCCACTCGCTTGATCCTTCCAAGACTCGCTGGTCTGGCCTGTTCGGTGAAAACGAAGGTCTCCCTTCTCCTGCCCCCGACCGCGACAACTTCCCTAGCTTCCAGCAGCCTCTCTTTTCAAGCGCCGGAAATATGATCCCTTGGGAAGCAGTTGAGGAGCATACCCATGGGAAGTTTGAGGATTTCCGTAGGACTTTACTCGAGGATCTGAAGGCTCGTCATGGAACTTCGCCGAAAACCGCTCAGCAGTTCAACCATGTTCTGCTAGATGTAGAGAGGATCTTTGGCGGTATGCATCACATAGCGAAGCTTGCGCCAAGGCTGCCGGACGGTGGGAGCGGGCCTGTTGCTTCCCACACTAGAGGTATGAACAAAAACCGATCCTTATCCATTCGTACAAGCACTAGCTAACATCGCCCTAGTAGACTCATACTCGTATGTAGCGCAGCCCGCTGGCCAAAGCGAGGTCCCGCTTAATTATTATGCGTCTCGGGAGTTGTTCCAAGGCCCGGCGAATTTCCCGGTTAGAGACGACAACCTAGCCCTGCCGTCGCTCACTACCGCTGACACCTTGTCGTTACACGACTCGGCACGGCCCGGGGCGGCTCCCCAGGATCTCGTTCTGGATGGCGTGCCCGCTCTTGGGCCCCGGCCTGCCATGGCTTCTGACCCGGTAGGCTCCGGTATGCCACAACCCCAAGCTGGACCCAGTACTCGTAGAGTGCGTGACAACTTTGGTAATGTCTTGGCTCACTGGAACAACGAGGGTCTCTGGTCTGTTGGCGGCGATCCATCCGATATGCAGTCCAGCTTTGATTTCGCAAATGCCAATTGGTGGATGGAAAGCGGTCAAGATGGAGAGGGAGAAGGAGGAGGTTTTTGAGATTTTCCTTCTTCCATTTTCTCTTGTATCTTTTGACAGGGGGAGTTGGTTTCCTTTTTCCTTCTTTTTTTTCCGGTTAACGATGCTTGGGTCGGCGGTCTCTGGTGTGTTTTGCGCAAAGAACGATGTGCTCTCTTCTCTTTTGCATGTACTCCTTTTGATTAGTGGCGTTGTTGGGGTTTAAGGTTGGAAAAAGTTTTATATCACGTCGTACCCAAAAGTTGGTTTTTTTTTTTTTTTGTTTTCCTTTCTCCCTTTTTTCTTTTCGTGAATCACATTCATGTGCATTCATTCCATCCTATTTCCTTCCTTTTTTTTCTCTCCCTCCGATCCTAAAAACAAAAAAAGAATGTGTTTTATGTTGCGCGAGTAGTTTTTATTTTATTTTATTTTTATTTTTCTCTTTCTCCTTTTTTTTTTTATTCACTCCTCTCACTCCCCTAAGTTATATCGATGTTTTTTTTGCGGACGGGACTTCGGGGGAAGGTGACAAATTAGTATCCTGGAGGCGTCGCATTGCTCGATATCTTTTGGGGGGGTTGGTTGACTGGTGGGAACGTGGGTGGTGATTACCAATGGGGTAGAAGAAGAAAAAGAAAAAAAGAAAAAAAGAAAAAAAGGGATGACCTACCCAAGATGATTATTGATTGTGCCTGATCCAAATGTGCATGGTAAAAACGGATAATTGTCAACGCTGCTCATATGAGAACGCTTTCAAAATTTTCCATCAGGTAGGGAATGACTACGGTATCATTTCCAACTTTTGAAAACCAGAAAGAAGCGTAAGCGATCAAAGCTGTCCTTGTTGTTCATGGTTGCAACAGCCCCCCTGTGAAAAAAGTACTTGTACTGTACTGTACAGGACAACCAATACGTATACTTGAACAGCCTTTCTCCCCACGACTTTACAGGATCCTGTGAATATTCTTGGACAGATTTTGCCCAGATTCTTTACAGACATTGCGCGGCGGGAGAGAGGGTGGGCACTTTTGGTATGAAAAAAGCATCGAACGAATCCTTTCTTGTCCTAGTATCATACTTCATCAGATGGAAAGGTAAATCATATCATACAATATCATGATTAAAAAAAAGGATAACGACTCACATCGAAGGGAGAGATGTATAGTATTCCTCTTGGACCGGCCGGTGTGAAAGATCTACTACATACATAGGAAACCGATCGAACGAAAAACCCGTCTTTCGAAACCGGTCTGTTGACTAAATTTTTTTTTCTTTGTCAAGTCTACTCGAGTACGAGTTGGCAAGTTAGTGTGGATGGATGGATGCAGTATCGTAATTTAGTATGATAGTCAAGAATTGGCGGCATCCACATCATCATCATCACAGCTCACTCGAAACTTCTCTGATATCGGCAGGTACAGTACCGCAGATCTCCCCTCCTCTTCCCCTCTCTCTTCCCCTCTTCTTACACTCCCATAAATAGGCCAACTTGGCATGTTTGGTTGTGGTGACTCTATATCGGTTCCTGAGGGGAATGGTGGTGTACTGTACTGTAAGAGGTAGTGCATAAAAATTTTTTCCCTTCTTTTCTTTTCTTCTTCTCCTCTTCTTTCCCGCCGGGCCAATATTAAGCTTAAACCTCCCGCATAGCGCTATACGCTTTAACAACTGTGCTGTGCCTGTACTGTACCGTCACCTTGAGGGGATTCCCCCCCCCCTCGAAAATCTATCGCATTAGATGCGCTTCTAGAGAAACCGGTAACTTATGGGCTACTACTACTACAACTTCGGATTTTTTTTTTTTTTTTTTTTTTTTCTTTCGAACAACTCACAAACTCGGTCCCATCCCATCTGAAAAGTTGCCGGGAATAATAATAATGACATAATTTTTGTGCGGCGCCATTCGGTTCGATCAGGACCGGACCCGGGATCGGTATGATGGTAATTTGTATGGGTGAGTACAAGTACCGTACAATTATACCTTTGGCTGGGAGTGGATGTATTTATTATGTATGGGTTAACGTTTTTTTTCTTTTGAACTTATTCCCCCCCCCCCCTTCCCCTCTTGATCTTATTTTGGTAATGCTCGATTCTAGAGGCGCTGTGATTTAGATAAGGTTATGCGGTATGTGCGGGTTCGGAATCCGGGGATGCACGGGTTGACTCGATGGTAAGGTAGAGAGAGAGGGGTGGGGGGGAAAGGTTTTGTTTCGGTTGCTCCTTTTTTTTTTTGAACGTTTCAGTGTTTCTGTGCTTTTAATCTTGATTTGACTGTTACCGAGTTTTTTTTTTTTGCGGCGGCGGGCAAACGCGGATTTTGCGGTTCATGTTTTATCACTCGGGTGGTTGGGGATTGGAGAGGGAGCGAACCGTCTAATTCTACTCCTTGAGGGGACCTCACCACCTGCCTACTGATCTTGTTCGTTGAGTCATTGAGGCCCTGTCTGGATGAATCATAAGGAGGGGTAAGGAGTGCTCATGTAGATGGCTAAAAGAGGGTTTTTTTTTCTTCTTCTTCTTCTCCCGCGCCGTGGGTAGAGGGAAAGAGGGAGAGGGAGAGAAAGAGAGACCAATGGAAGCTATTTGGTAGATTTTGTGATCGCTATTTGCCCGTATGCTGCTTAGTTTAATGGCGGATGGCTCGAGGGGGGTGGATCGGTGAGTTGCTGCTTTAGGTACGGGTAGACGCTGGGGGCGGTTAACTTGTGCTATTGTAGATCCTTGGTTAAGGTTAAAATTCAACAACTTACATAATTCAACCCTCGCACTTTGTTTAGCGCGTGCTTATGGGAATAGACATACGTGGGGAGGCTATGATAAGATGCCGTATGTATGGTGGATTATTATCGTATCTCTTTCTGGTGTCTACCTAGAGATCTAAAAATTGCACCCTTGATTATGATAATATTTCCTTCCCCCCGCCACCCATCCCTCCGCTTCCCCCCCTCCCTCCCCGCTCCCCTTCATCGGGTAGCATAGCTTGTTCCATTCAATAAGCTCCGGGAACTTGATCGACGTGGTGAGAGTAGTAAGCTTGTTTTCTGGGTCTTTTTGCAAAAAAGGATCTCCTACCGGGCGGCACTTTTGACGTTGACGCAACTGGCCGGATACTCTCTTTCGGGAGCTTTCACGCTTTGATTGGGTTGCTTCAGCATGGCGAAGCTAACTGAATGGGGGCAAATGTCCAGTTCTTGGATAACCGAAACCGGGATGAATAGCCCACCAGTGCGCTGTGCGCACCTCAGGGATCGCTATATTCGTTACTGTGGGTTACGACTAGTTTGGTTGTTATTGCTGCACAGGTTACCAGTAAGAGTGTTAACGGTTAATTTGGGTTAACCTGAAGAATAATCCCTGTCTTTAATGGAAAACATCTCCCCGATACTTGTACCTACTTGTAGTACTTGTACCCCTACTGTACTCGTACTCTGGGAAAAAGTGATTACGCTTCTCCCGGGTTGCTGGGGGGATAGCCGTGGGTGGATAAGCTTGTTTGAACATCCGTGTTTTGCTCAGCTACTTCGACTGTACTGAGTACATACCCGAGTGCTGCGTGTACATGGCACCCCAGGGAGAACTGTGCAGAAGCTTCTAAATTGATCCGTTTGGCCATCTTCCGTATCATGTTTTGAGGCTCTGCTGAACTGGTGACTGGAGTTTGGCTGCAGCTGCAACCTTTGGCCTTGCCTGGTCCCCACCTCCCCACCTCCCCACCTCCCCACCTCCCCTCCCCCCTCTCCTTCCACCCCGCTTGGCTTGGTCATAGCCATGACTTTTACTTCGGTAACATGCAGATGGAGAAGGGGCGTGGGCTCAATCGGGTGCATGGAGCGGTTACCAATTCATGAGTCTTAACCCTATTATTTATGATCCGATGGAGGTGTTTTACATGGTTGTATGTACCAACCTCTTTCAGAAGCGGCGTCTGATATGGTGGAACGATTGCGAACGGGGGGGATGAGACCAGTAGGGGTAGCGGCAGTGATGTGGATATGGGGTATTGTGACGATACTGGGAATGTTCGATCCCAAAGGATTGGTTTACGGGATTTGGTTTGATTCAAGGTAACCCGCGAATATCGTACCGTCCGATCCATGACGCCGCTATGCTGATGGTAGGTAAGAGGTGGAAGGGAAAGTGGGAAAAAAAAACAAACAAACCAAAGAAAAAACAAAAAAAAGACATGGGAAGGATGTTAAAAACATGTGGCATCCTTGGTAACTTTTTGGACTTTGTTGTAGGGTACGGCATTGTTCTTTCCACTCCGAATATATATATATATATATATAACTGGCTACCACAAAAGTGCTGCAAGCCATGCGAATGTTCATCCCGCATCGGAGGAACAACATATTAATGCTTGGTCGTTCCTAGACTGGGTACCGAATAACCCCCAATTGGTCACACCCTTTCCACAAATGTGCAGGTGAATACTCTTCCCAAACATCGCCTCATACCGAAAGCACCTTTAGCCGCGCATTTTGAGGCTCCGCGCTGCGAGGGGAAAAAAGGAAATTAAAAGAAAAGAAAAGAAAGGAAGGGAGAGGGGGAGGAAAAAAAAGGGAGAGGGGGGGTGGAGAGGTAAGTTGGGCTCACAATTTAATTATTTAGAACCCATGCCGCGTGAATCGGTAGCAGCTTACTTACTAGCATCGTTTCACAATCTATCAACCAATAGTATGTAGAAGCACACCATTTTGAGGCTCTGCGACGGAGTTGTATAGAGCCTTCTCCAGCCTCTGGAACGAGGAAAACGATTAAATTTCCATTTGCTTTGTTCTACCTCTATCTGCTCTAATTTAACTGACAGCGTTCTCGTTTATGCCATATCTTATCTTATAGTTTCGTTGGGAAGCTCTCTGGAGTTATCTGATACATATATCTCGAACCATTTCCCCAGAATTGTTCTTTTTTATTTATTTATTTATTTCACTTCTTACCTACCATAACTGGGAAGCTTGGAAATACCCACGATTTGCTTCTTCTGCTGGTACATTATTGAAGGGTTTTCCTTTTGCACGGAGCTGTACCATACCAGTTCGTACCGGTACACTACCCTGCCGCACCATAGCATATCTTGCCCGCTTCAACCTTACAGCCCGCCGAAGACAACCTTGGTATGATAGACTGCGGTACCCCGACTAGCCCCCATATAATATGACATTACTGACACTTTCTCCCTTGCCCTCATTCCCGGTAGTCCAAAATATTTCTGCAACCCTGACTATACCTGCCGTCACTCTTATTCGGTGAGAAGGGTGGGAGAATGAATCGTCAGAGTGTTAGCATGTCCGATCATCGGGACGCAAGAGGTCAAAGAATGCCACGTGAGTTTCTTATTTTATTTTTCTAACTTCCTTCCCCATCTACTTTTTATTCCCATATTTTTTTTTTTTACTGGGGTTGGGTTTTGGGTTTGGGTTGTTGTCTCTGAGAACGAATTATGTAGTGCCTACTCAACATGATTCCCCTTGGGAGCATGTACTCCCGTCCCAGCGCCCACACCTAGCTTCCCAAGCGGGACTTGAAGGGGGAGTTTTTATATCTAGAGCCACATCTCTCGAATTACCCCCCCCAGGAGATTTACACGGTCAATTGAACAGTTCCGAAAGTGCTTCTCCCATGTCTGCGTATTCGAGTGGAAGCATCCACAGTCATGGCTATGAGAGCGGCGACTCGCCACCGCCCTCAGCCCGGGAATGGGAGCATTCAGACCGTGAAAATTCTAGTTGGTCTATACCTTCGTTGGCTCCTCGGGGTACGAGTGCTGGCGCGACGTCCCCATCTAGCGCGGGAAATTTCACCGAGACATCAAGCAACAGGGAAGGCTTCTCCGAGACTGCGGGGAGCAACGGTAGCTCTCCGTACTCTGGTGCCTCCGAACAGGACGATTCCGGTGCAGCTGCTGAGCCTGAGGCAAGGTCGATCTCTCAGGGCCACCCGACTTCCAATCGGCCTCGTCCTTTTAGTAGAAAGTCGAAGGCAGGAAACCAACATACCGTTACGCCATCTGCCGCAGGCCCTCACGGGGGATTTATCTGCTCGTTCAAGACGGGGGGTTCTACCTGTGGACGCTCGTTCAAGCTTCCTTCTGATATGAGGTTTGTTTGAATATTTGCCCCGTACGAGAGAGAGAGACCCCTGTGTTGACCTTGATGGTTGTTGCAGAGCACATTTGATTGAGAAACATATGTCCTTCTCCCCCTTTCAGTGCGAGACTTGCAAAAGGGTCTATACAAGGAAGTCCCTTTACACTCGGCATCTGAAGGGCGTTGATCAGACTAGCTCTCAGCAAACACGAGGCCATAGTCGACAGTGTCCAAACAGGGCGATGGAAGCCGATGATGCATTCTACTATCGAAAAGAGACTTATGCAGCTCTGTGGGCTATTCAGACTACCCAAGAGCAAGTTGAGAAGGCCGTCAACACTATCGAGACGCATAACGGAATGCTTCCTAGCAGAAGGAGACGGACCCAAAATCAAAATGAAACCGAGCCTCCCGAGACGCGGCCACCCATCCATGGGTCTACACCTCCATTTGGAACTCACCCACAAGTTTGTAAGTTTTGTTTTCTAGCCCACGATCGCGCAGCAAGGTTTGGGACTAACTTGATCTGTTCAGCATCTCAGATATTTACGCCGCAGCAAAGTCCACCTTACACTCAGTCTTACCCATCAGGTCTGCCTAGGAGTGACTATTTCTCCCACAGAGTGCCCTCAGCCTTTCCAACCCCTACGGAGACTGGAGCCACAGCCAGAAGAAGCCCACTTGCAGGCCCCGCTCCTTACCAGTCCCCGGCGCCCTACCAAGGCCCACAGGAAGCACCAATGATACCTCCAGGGGACGGGAGGGGGTACATAAACACAGATGCGGGCCAACCATTGTATGGCCCCACCTCAATCTACGCCAGAGAATACATGGCACAGCTTGAGCAATCAGACAACATCGATCCAAACGTGCTCCAGCATGTCACAACTGCTCCTCATCGTACCGCGTGGGAGGCACCCAGACAAGACTATCCTGCTTGGCCTGCGACTAGAACTGGTGGACACAGACAGCAAGTGCTGTACTCAAATCAAGGGTTCAAACAAGATGATTATCACTACCAATCGGTAAGTTCAGTTAACATATCCCCATTTCATACGTGTCGTTTGGCACACCGCTCCCAGATCACCTCCCCTAGTTGAGTTTTTACGGCTCTTACTGATGCATTAGCTAGGGCACACGGAACGACGAATCCCAGCCCAATGTGTTTAATCCGGCCGCAATCCCTAGGAATGTGTCCACCCCGGATCAGTTCCATGAACGAAACCCCAAAACGGGAGGAGCATGAGGGTCCGAGAAGGTGTTTGAGTTAGTTCATGAATCATGAGGATGTTTCTTTTCTTTCTTTTCTTTTTCAGCGGGATTTCTGGTTTTTGGGACTGGCTTTTGGTGCAGGCAGGGGGGTTAGGCATTTCTGGGACATTTGGAGTGGAGATATGGTAGAACTAGCAGTTATTCTAGGTCTTCGATTTTGTTTCTTTTCACCGAATCTCTGTGTAAGTTGTGTTAAACGACCAATGAAGTAAATAGAGGGATCCGTGAATAAAAATAGAGGGGAAAAAAAGGGACAATACTGGCAAGGTCCGCCCCAACCAAAATCACGCGAAGTCTATGAGCATATGCAGCTCAATACGGGCCTATTACACTTACTGCGCATTCAAAACATTGTGAATGTGCTGTCGAGAACTGAACAGGTCATTATTTTGTACTGCGCTCTTGTATCTGCCTTGCGGGACCGGGCTCTCCCCCCCTTGAGCCCATCCCATGAGGCTCTTCGGAGACTGGGCTTTGGGAGCTATGTTTCTTGATGTTTGGACGCAAGCAGGCGGCGAAAAATGGAAAGAAAAAAACAGGATTCCTTTCGTCCCATGTGACTCATGACCTACTGCATCTATTGTACCGGAGGGTATAATGTTCTGTGTTTTGGAGCTCAGTCAACCCCACGGAAGAGGCCACGAAAGAAGTGCTGGCCTCAGAGCCAATACATCCTACCTCCTCAACTACCCTTCATAAATCTCCGATCTGGTATACCCTGTGCTAAAGTTTAATCATGATAGGCCGTTGTCCTTTGGAAGAGTCTGGTTTTCAACACCGTTATCCTTTGGTGAGGGAGGGAGAGAGAGAGAGGCTGTATTTTGGAAAAAAAGAAAAAGTGGGGGTGTTCGGATATATGTTGTTGGGAACCATTTGCAGCGCGATGACATGGCCACTCGAGCGACGTTAGAGGGTGTATGTGCTCGCTATGGCTCCTGCTGGAGATTAATTTCGGTTTTAGTTGGTGAGAGTCTATCAGGATCATACTGGATCACCCGTCATCTCCGAATATAGCTTTTCTGCTATAAAGGTATGCTTCCGGAGCGGGGAGGAAGATGGGTTAGCTATCAGATATTAGGATACTCTACTCGCTGTCTGTTCACGATCCAGAAATTATTGCTAATTAGACCTGTCGAGTTGTGCTGCGGTGCTGTTAACATCCCTGGAAACCCTTCATTTTGAGTGGGCTGTGGGCATAAAGGAGTGGGGCGGGGGGGGGGGGAGGGAACGGAAAAAAGAAAAGGGGGGGAATATCGGCAGACTGGCTGTCGATATTCCATGCTGTACCCTGAGGATTCCATCTAGGGAACTTGGCGTTCTGTGAGGGAGTCGTGGCATGGCCGTAGTTGGAGGCGCTATACGAAGGGAGGGTTCTGGTGCTGCGTGCCACGGAGCTCTTTCGCTCCCACTCCTCCTGCAATCAATCTTCTGTTTCGATGCAGGAGTAATGTGTTGTCAATGCTATAACAAAGGATTTCCAAGGATTTCCAAGGGTTAATCTGCGGAACGGGGATGGTGAAAAAGCGACAAATGGCCAGAGCGATCGATCTCAACGAAGATATGATAGACGTTCCCCTCCCCCCTTGCACTCACTCCCTTTCCATCCATCCCCCCTACCTACCCTTTAGAAATGGCTTTTTCTGGTAGGCTGGAAGCTTCCAGTAGCTACTCAACACAACAGCTCAGGGATGTCCATCGAGGCATTTAATTCCCCTTTTATTGGTTTTCCCATTCCTGGTGGAGGATTGACGGTTGTGACGCCCACACTGACTATCACAGCGAATTTCGACTTTGTAAATGATAACTACCGGTAACTTTTCCCTCTGGAGTTAAAAAGGAGCGTCTTATTGGCCCCTTCGGCCAGCTTATTTGATTGATTCGTGATTGTTTTGAAGGCTGGAGTGTTGCACAAAGGATTTTTTTTGCGCCTTTAGACTTTCCGTTGTCGGGACTCAGCTCGAAGGAGCGGTCAAACTACTGATAAAGTCAACCCCCTAACCTGATTTCTTAGGTGGAATACCAACGGTCATGCCCCCCCACCCCCCCCTTAACGTCTGGTTATTTATGTCTGACAGCATAGGTGGTGCATGGATGATCACTCGTGGGAAAGGCTGAACGAGGAACTCTTATATGATATAAGATTCTTAGGTGTTTCTCCCATCAGGACGGTCAACTTGATACTCTGTGCAGATGGTTCGGGATGATGAGTCTCCCCGTAACTTTGGGTATTCCTTGAGATGGCTTAGCTTTTGGGGGTTACCTATGTGTCCTCAGTCGGAGGGGGGGGGCCACGATATCGGGGCAGCTGGCTTCTCGTGGAGCGATTAGGATCGGTACCTAGTATTATGCGAATTCTCCCGGAGCACTTTCAGCATACAGCCGAACTCCCTTTGCCGTGGATCCCGCTCTAGAGTTGTTCACCAAGGATCACTCGGCACCTGCTGGTTTCGCCAAGCTGAGTCCCTAAAGGTTCTGTTGGATTTTTGATTTCTCAAGGCTGACTTGCTCAGATATTTCCACGTTCTTTTTTTCGCTTTTGGCTTATAGGTTATTCATCGGTTAAGAGGAATTTTTTTTTCACCTCTACTATTTCGTCTCCCTCGGTTTCAGGTTTCCCTCGATTTTGGATTTCCCGCGAAGGTGTTGTAGGAGTATAAGTTCACGGGGAATACTGAAGCCTTTCTAAAATTCAGTTCGGAAGGTAGGATAGTTCCGTAACGGGTTCCCACAAGCATACTCTCCAACGCAGTACCCTCGCAATAACACCGGATTGGGGGGATACTGGCACGGAAGGCTACGAGAAACATGAGTCGATGCTAGTGGGTAGGTGTTTCTCCATACCTATAACATGTATTAGCTGTGGGATCACGATAACGGACAGGGAGTAGGAGAGCCATTTCCTTGACTGAGTTTGTCCGTTACTTGGAGAATTTTTCGTAGGATAGCTCGGTTGACAATAGTGGGCTTTTTCAGACTTTATAATTAGGGGGGGTCGGTCGACCGGAATCTTACCTGGCCGATCGGCGGACCATGCCAATTGCAGAAACTGGAGTTCGATTGGAAGTGTTTAAGACACTGGTGTGTTGGAACCATAAGTTGTCGACAGCGTTCGCTCGAACAAGGGCCGCACCTCCGGAAGAGCCGAGGGCGTGTGAGAGAGCGGAGGGTGCTGAGTCTATGTGAAGAATGGATGACTTTTGCTAATGTCTGATAGTGACTGAGCGGAAATATGCTGCTTTAGGACGGAGTCCGAATCGGCTTCTGGCTGGTAATAGGGTAAAAAAAACCTCTTTAACCTTCGCTAACATCTTGCCCACGTAACTGAATCACTAGGGCGGCATGCAATACTGTTTCAAGGCTCCTCTTCTTTGGCTCTGCTGGCTCGAGTAGTAGTAGGCTTCACCTTAGAGATATGGAGATCTTGGAGTGCTGTCGTCCCTTCGGTCGCGGTAGGGTGAGGAATTCGGAGTTCTATTTCCCCGACACCCTTGCCCTCACCGGTTCCGCCGCTCTAGGGTGGGGCGATGTATTTCGCTCGGCAATACTCGAATAGTGTCTTGGATGCAAGAGATTGTCTCTTGAAACGTTTATTTCCTCTGGAGATTCCTTCCATGTTATTCGGGGGTTTAAAGAGGTTCTGGGGGGGTTAGACGGTAGGGTGGAATGCAGGCCGACGCTCTCCTCCTCCGCTCCCTGTTCCCTATCAATTGGATAACGTTCGCTCTGGCGCCTGAGGGGGGAGGGGTTGTGTTAGAATCCAGCAGTGGCTGACCTGCATAGGAATTATGCGCTTCGGATAAAAGCACTAGGATTTTACATCCCTATTATTCACCTTGCTTTTATTTTTCTAGGCTTCTTATTAGGATGGATACTGAGTCTCGTCAAACGGACGAACCAGCGGGGGATAGAACATACCCAAGAGGTTGGCTGATACTCGCCACTGGGAGAGGGTCTGTGGAATGGGCTTATATCGCTCCGAGATCTTAGGTGAACTGAGTATGGGACCGGTCTGCATATATTCATATCCAATCACTCGGGTCCTGGTGCGGGACGCGTACCTTGCTTCCTCCCACTGTGTTTTTCTGTGATTGCAGGTGAGTAGCCGTCTGGGTAAAATTTGAACAAGTATGCTGGCTTATCATATTTTTTTTTCTGTGCTCCTTTCGTCACCTATTGTTTTTCCAATAACTTGACCTCACCCCCCCCCCACAAATGTGCCTTATGTTGGGATCCTACCGGAACCTCAAGCGCAAATTTGTCATAGGTTCTGTTGAGTTCCAGAGGCAACGATCAATAGGAGTCATGAAGTGCACTCACCGGAATGTGGGTGGTCTGGAGCACGGGGGGGGAAGTGATAGGCGGCACGGCAATGTGGAATCGAGAAAAAAAGAGGGTTCCAGACTCGTGAAACAGGGCCATGTTTCCGGGTATATGTCCGGGTAGATAAAACACCCACAGCCACGGTTCCGGGGTCGGTCCCGAGAGACTTTTGGGACTCAAAAAGACCGAGAGAAAATATGGTTCATGCGATTGGGAACGTTTAGCGCTCCCAGATATTCAACCCCCGTACCCATGACACGAGAGATTCTCGGTTCGAGAACGAGGGGTAATTATGAAGGGAGGCGATGAGACTCTTTGGACCGGGGGGAAATTTCTACAGTTTTTATCTCGGATCCATCGTAAATTCCTCGGGCTGACCAGACTTCTAGCGCAGAGCGCGAGTGGTTCGTCATTACAGCGCCTGCATTATAGCGTACGATAACACGCCTTCTGATAATACGATTTTGGGTTGCCTTGCTTTAAAGGTTTAATGATGAGAAGGTACTGTACTGTAAGGCGAAACCTGGAGATTAATGCAAGGTTATTTTGGCCTGCTAAGTGGATTAGCGCTGGATCACTCTGAAGGGGCCTGTGCGGCTGTGCTCGCCGATCAGTGCAGGACTTTTTTATCGAGGAATCCCTTGTGCGAAATTTACAATAGATACAGGACGTTTGCGATAGGGTGATAACTATTGGTGCCCTAGGGGTAGTCAAATGGTTTTGGCGGGTGTTTTGTCACATAATGGTCGGGAAGTTTTCTCAGAAGAGCTTGGTCACTAGGTGTTCCACTTGAACTGGGGGTAGGGCCAAGGTGGAGTAGTTTTTCAACTGATAACATTTAAGCTTTACTAAAGAACTTGGTGCTATTGAAGTAGGTAATTGAAAGACTAGGCGAGTTTGGTATTCCAAGATAGTTTACCTGTGTTCCGATATATTATAGCTAGGGGGACTCTTCTGGAGTAGAGCTCGGATG